AATCTGTAAATAAAATTTACAAAAAAATTTAACTTTACAACTTCAAAAGACAGCAGCATATAAAAGTTGATTGATTTTTGCTTGTTAGACTACGCTTAACAATCATGAATGCAAATCTTTAACTTTTTAAATCTTTTATCAAGGCAGTCTGGGTGACCAGCGGCTACACAACCTTTCACATTTGCATATCGTAAATTGCACTTTTTAGATAAGGTTGTGAAATTTATAGTCACCGTCAAGAGAGAAAATTGGTGTCGAAGAAAGCTGTTATCAGATAGTCATATAAGCTGAAATTAACCTGATTTTATTTGGCTCTATTCAAAATGATATCGAGACAACGTCAAAGTAACACCCGTCACTTTGCAAAGATCGCTTTACAGTTAAACCAAGCAATATTTTAGCATCTTTTAACTGACTACTTGCAAAGTTTAAAACGGTACTGGTATTATTAAAGAATTGTGTTACAAGAGAACACATACTGTTCAAATTTTTCAGAAATCTGCTTAATTTTCTATTTTACTTTCTAAAAATTTTATTTATACAGTTTGAATGCACTGTATTGGTTAAACTGCGATTATTGAATATTAAAGAGAAAAAAAAGGCTAAAATATTTGTTAGATTTCTAAAATCAATTGCTCTTAAGTTTCCTTCTTGCAGCAGATATTTAATGCAACAAAATTCTTAAGAAATAAAAAAAGAGTCAAATCTTATTTTTTTTTTTCAATACTTGGACCAAATTTTACACCATCTGCAGTCCTTCTTCTTTCTTCTTTTCTCTTGTTTCTTTTCTTTTTTTTTTTTTGATATTCAATCAAGTTCTATTTTTGAAATTATAACACAGAACAGCATTTTAATGATTTTTGAAAATGTGCTCGAATTCTTTTTGGTGACACATTTTTTCAGCAACTAATAATAGGTCAACGAACGCTGACTGCAGTCACAGAAATGATCATCAGATACCTTAGGCTTAATTACCAGTTAATTGTCCTTGTTTTATTTACAGGTAAAACTTAATGTCTGAACCGCAACATAAATTTTGATATTACTTTACTTTTCACTGCCTGTTGCCTTTTTTCATCAGAAAAAAATTTTTTTTCTGTATTTTCTTTTCAAATGTCACTATTACAAATGTTTGCAGCAGTAAACGCCCTAAATCGAGATGAGCTGATCAGATATTTGCAGTATCAGCAAGAAACAAGAAATACATTTGATTCCAGAATCGATCAAAGTTCTCAACCAATTGGATGGATTGATGGAGAGTAAACAAGTTTTGGCTACTGTCTTTTTTTTTCAGATTTAATTTAAAGTAATTTTTTTCTGTTTTTTTTCAACAACAATGTTTACGGTGTTTGTATTTATACTGTTTAGTACTTCTTTAATTTCAATTTAATAACATTTTTTTGTTTTAAAAAATAAGCGTAATTTTTAATATATTTGTTTCAGTTCTTGAATTTTCTTTGAAGCTTACGGTAGCAACAAAAATTAAACCGTCTAATTAAATTAAAATCAAACAATTTTTTGGATACATAAAGATTTATTTCTGACGAAAAAACTTTACTAAACTTCGGAAAGTTGAAAGAAAAAAGTTTGGCACAAAAGTTTGCAGAAATATGTGTCAAAAAGCATATTATAGAGTTTAACAAAACATAACTCGGTCTCATCAGTGCTGAACAGCTTTAAAAAGTTTTAATTTGTTGTTTTAGTGATTTTTTTGGTTGCCGTAAAACATAAAGTTTGGAAAATTTTTTTTACCGTAAAGGAATTATTATAATTATAAGCTGTCTTTGAATTTAGTGCTTTTCTTGGCACTAAAATATAATCATTAGCAGTTACCACTTTTAGACCGATCTGGCCTCGAATACTAGAAAAAGTTCCAAAAACACGGTTGTTTTACGACGAAAACAACGCTGGACTTGTTCAAAACAATATCACTCCTGTAGATGTCATCAAAAGAATGGATCGCCAAGAAAACTATGATAGAGTGATAAAATTTTTAGATCGACTTACAATTTAAAGAACATATCTCTAAAGGTTTTACTAAGAACTACATTAACTTATTATTACGCTGTTCAGTTGTATGTATTATAACTCTGTATTATAAGACTTCTGAATTCGTTGCTCAGTTAGTCAGTTATTGAAAAGAATTCGTAAAAATAAGAACAGTTTGACCACTTTAAATCTTTGTTTGGTACTCAAAACTGTAAAGTGAACATAAGACAGTATTAAAAAGCAGCATTAGACTTAATATTTCAAAAAACACGCATGTAGCTCCAGCATTAATTTGCTACTTGCTACAAAAGAGCAAAGTAAAAAGTCAAATTAAGATAGGCTAATAAGAAATGAAGGTTGGTTGAAAATGTTTCTCTCACTAAATATATTTTTAAAGGTTTACTTATGCGCCAGGTATGCAAGTTCCACTAAGCGTTGCTAACATACATTAATGTTGAAGGAAATTTAATCAGTTTATTTATAGTGTTGAAGAACTGAAAGTTAAGATGAATTGCAGATGTATACATTTATATAATTATTGTATTATTCTTCTGGTAGCAAAAATAACATTAGAAATGAATATTTGATCAATATTCAGAAAGCGCGTATCGAAATGGGAATAGTGCAGTGCGGAAGTGGGTTCTCTAGGTCTGAAAGAAGCGGGGTTCAAGCCCTGATGCCGTCCGTTGATGACTTACCCCATTTACCACCAAGATCTCTGAGAGCTTTGTGATTTGAATTGGTACCATGTACCACCAACTGAGGACGGTTCACCGCAAAATTCTTACTCTTCATTTACTACTAACTCCGTATCAACATCACAATTTTGAATCTCGGCTTACGGCATTTTGAGCAAACTGTCATTAATGACACTTATTCATCCGTTTATGGCTTACAGTTCTGTATCTTTCTCATTTTCTAGCCTAAATAATTCGCGGCTATGCTTCACTATCTGTATCTTATGTTGACAATAGGTAATTTATAACTAAAAAATGAAATAAACAAATGACTGCTTGTAATAACACTGTTTCTGACTGTGTTTAGTTTAATAAGACTTCAAAAGGTGACAAGTTTGGTAGCCAATTTATTATACCATTAAAGGTAAAAGCTTAGAAAACAGACATAAAACTTAAGAAATAATATAAATATTTGTTTATATGAAAACGATCGACATTGACAGCAATATTAATTTAATCTACTCAAATTTTCATTTGTACATACCACAGAATTTATGCTTTTACGGCTGCCTAAATTTAAGAAGTTTAGAAAAAGAAAACAGAACAAAATTTATTCTGCTGTCTTTTTTTACTTTATTATGCATTCTTTTTGTTTAAGCAAAGTATTGATCTATTGCAAGTCATCTTTGAATAAAGGCTGCAAAGTTAGGTTTGGCATTTATGATAGTGCTCAATTTTCTGTTACGAACGGTTGATAATTCTTTAGTGTGATGACGAGTCAGCATTCAACTAAGCAAACTTTTCTATTCCTTATTACCTGGTAACTTACAGCCGATGTATTTCCTTTACTGATAAATTACTGCAGTTACCTCATAACATTAATCTGATGTCTTGCTTATTTTATAACACTCCTGTCGTTTTACTTTTTGGGAATACCTAAACCTTGGTTTGCTCGTTCACTTTTGCTGCCATTTAAAATTTTTCAAAAATCTCATTAATCCAAATATACCAACTTGTGGTCATGGGTTATTGACTGGAACTTCATAATGGTGTGGGGAAGCTTAACTTTTTGAAGATTTAACTGTTTTTAAGCAGTCTAAAGGTTTTATCTTTTTACTCGCATTGTATGTTAGTGTTAAGCGTAAAAAGAAGGATTGGGGATCAGAAAACTTTGAAATCACGGTCTTTTTGAAGGACAAAAGATGTTCAGATATTTTTTTTTCATTAGGGTTTTTGGATCTTTCTTTTGCTCGCTGTCTGTTATCGCTGTTTCTCTGAGGTGAGCAGTTTAAAGCTGTTACTTTGCTAAAGTTAATGTTTTTATCACGACTGTAGCGTTTACCCCTATAGTATTTTGTTTCAAGTTCAAATGCTATTGAAGCCACTGCCTCAATCGGAAAAATAAACTGTGTTTTTATGTCTTACTGAAGCTGATCACGTAGGTCAACTTAAATTATTACCAAGTGTTTGTAGTACTTTGTCTTGTCACAATATAGTGGTGTTAGGCTGTTCTTACCAATAGGTATTGTTAATAAAGTGATGATTCAGTTATATTTTTTGCATTACTAGTTTGGTTGCTAAAAGTATTTGAGTTTTAACGTTGAATGATTCAGGTCCGCTCGCTCAAGAAAAGTGAGCGTTCGCGTAGCTTCTTTTTTCCGGTTTCTCGTATCGTTTCTCGTATTGGCATGATTTTAATTGGTCAAAGTTAATATATATTGAGCCTCAATTGTGAACTATCGACTCAAGATTTTAGTTAAAGCGCCAGTTTATCTGCTCTTTTTTAACCAGTACTTTTAAAGTTATTTGTTAACGAGGTGGAATATTGTCATAATGGTTAGTTACTTATAATGAATACGGGAAAGGGAAATTTTTTGTTATCAGCTAATGATTCAAAGCTGTAGTACGTTTGTCCCTTGTAAAATCACTTTTTTGTATGCATTTATTCATTCAGATTTAGTGGTCTTAAAGAAATATAAATAACTACTTTACCTTTAATTACCTGTCACAAGTTTTAATGTTTTTGATCAGTCGTACTTTATTTCTTGCGCAGTGGAATTAGTACGGTCAAAATAAATTTATGCTTTTAGAAATACTTTAGGATAAGAATTTTTAGCTTTCAGTGTTATTTCTCGCTCTGCTTCTACTCAGCAATTGTTTAAAAAAAATTATATTTTGCTTTTCAGTTCTGGTCTTGAACAAAAAAACGAACAAACAAACAAAGTAAAAACCTGATTTGCCATTTTTATACCCTTAGAAGCATTAGTAACGTAGATTACATATTATCTAAAGAATTACTAACAATATTTGTTTTTTATTTTGCAGCTATTAAAAAAACGTGATATGCGACCAAGCTTGGTCAAATTTTTAAGACTGAATAAGTTTAGAGTTACCCAATCTTAGCTCTATATCTCGCTGGAACCTGCGATTAGATCAGCGTAGTGAGTTCGTCCATAAATAATGACTTTGCAGGTTTTTGTCTTTTTTGAGGAGTGCTGACAGCTGCTGTCACTTCGCCGTCACTCTAAACTTAACTGGTCTTGACAGATCGCTCAATCTTCTGCCAAGTAGTCGAGGAAGTTTATAATGTAAACTGATTCGTACAAGACTTGAAAATCTAGCGATTCTGAGTACTTCAGTGGTAAATATGAATCCAAAGACTCCTTTTAATCTATTGAGGGGTTCTAGTAATGAAAGAAATTTGGCTGATATTAATTGTCATTTGCACTTAATCAGTCGACTTTTGATTTCGTCATATTTAAGATGGCTGGCTGCAGCATTAAAACGCGGTATTCAAGCTGGGAAAGAAAATCCATAAATAGGTGGATTTAAGTTTCCGTTGTTTATATAAGATGATGGGAAATTCAATAAGTTGACTCTTTAAACGCATAAAAAAGCTACTTGACTTATGGCTTAAAACGCAGCAGTAGCCAAAAGTTCTAGTCAGCGTCTTTGACTCAATAACTTTGACAAAAACAACATGGTCAGTCCATTTATTCTAGATAGATTGCAATGCTCTAATGTAAAATACGCGACGTATTAGATAGAGTAGTTTACATAGAAAAGCCTGAATCTAAACATCACTATTTGTACAGGATAGTTGAAAAATTATTTTGACTGTTGTAAGTAGCTGTGTAGTTTTTAGGAATTTATTTTTCGCGACAGATTCAAAGCGGAAACACTGTCTATCCATAAATGCTGGAAGTTTTTGTCAATATTCGCTCATTCTTATACATAAGAAATAACGACTAATGACAAAGATAGAATACCTCTTATCTTGAACTCAACACTGGTAGGTAGCTATTTGTTGAAATTCTTTGATAACAGCGGTCTATTTATTGCTCTTCAGTTTTTCTTAAGATTACACATTAGATAAACAAGAAAATATTTAGATAAAAATGTTCTCAACATTTGTGTTGCTTTTAGAGGAGAACATTTAAGCAGCTAATCACGGGCAAAAAGGCAATAAAAAGTTGCCTTATGAAAGGCGAATCAGTTAATGAACCAGGATTGGCGTAAGGCAGTTTTTTTAAAGGGTAAACCACTTTGTAGTAGCCTACGCGGAAAGTAGCAACCTTCAAAGCTAATACAACTTATTTTTAACTGAAACTAGGCCTTATTAAAGCCGTTGCTTACAATATGAAATTAACTATGGCTACTTAAACAACAGTTGCAAGACTTTCCTCTTTTGTTTTCTCTGTCATCAACCTTCTCTCTTTCTTCATCTCTTTGTCAAGTATTAGTTTCAAAGCGAAAATTTTTGACTGCTGCACTCTGCTATATTACTGCTTGTTGAAAAGCGCTTTTCAGCGAAAAAGACCGTTTAATTCTACATTTTTTTCCTTAGGAAGCACCTGAACAAGGGAGCAGTAAAAAAATTACATTTAATTTAAACTATACGTTTCTGAAACAGTTGATTACTAATGGAGCACAAAAATGCTATCGTAGAAAACTGTCAAAATCATAAATTTCACAGGTTACATCTTACTGAATTAGACTAACGTTCTGATTATATATTTAAGCACAATTTTTTTGTAGATTTCAAATTTAAATAAAAACGTATAAAACAATCAAAAAGAGAGCAATGAACGTGACGATATCTCAGTGACAGCTTGACGTTTCGCATAATGCAGTACACCTTGTAGAAAATTTTCTTCTTGCTTACATACGACGTACGCAGAATTGTTTAGAAAATGTAAAAAAAAATTTACAGAAAAGAGGAAAGATTGGTATAATTGATAGTAATAATCGATGTATACTTGGTATTTGTTTGTTTTTTCTTCTCATTCTTATTTGGCAGACATGACTTCTCGACATCGACTTTGTCGAAAATTGTAATTTGATTAATACTTAGTAGAAATTAAGCTAGATAATACATGTAGAATATATATCTGATGTTTGCGTTAACTATTTATTGTTAAATTAGTACTTGTACCACAGCTTTTGTATCACAATATCACACCACTTAAATCTTATGTTCAGTTATGAATGGAACATATCAATCAAAAATTAATGTTAGGTACTGTCGGTGTACAAAAGGTTAACTAAAAGATACTGGTTTTGGACGCCGTTCCATCTAATATTTACCTTTTGGTAGCCATCCTCTGAAAATACGGTTGAAGTAATGATAAATCAAACTATTGAAGGCAGTTTTTAAATTTTCCTTCAGTCTGCTTCAGCAAAGAATCCTGTTCATAACAGTGTAAAGAAAATTGCGTAATATTTTAGTACAGAAACACCGGCAAATGAAAAAAACTTATAAAAAGAAGAAATTTTTAAAGTGTTTTTCCATTACCGATGAAAAAACTAGTGTTACAAAATGCTTATCTTTTGCCAATCAGCTTTTTTTTTACTTTTAAGTGAGATAAACAAAATGGTACATTTTACATGAAGTCTAATCAAAAAATCTTTATTGGAAAATAAAGCTTTTCGAAACGGTTTCTTTCTAAGCATTTGAATTACACTGATTTTAAGCATCAGACGCCATGCCGATAAACTGATGATTCTTATCTGAAATCGTGACCGCGTTGTTATATGCAGATAATAGTAGCAGCTAAAATGATTGCCAAAAACTATGAGGTTGAAAACACATCTATTTCTTAGTTTTATTCTTAGAAATAAGTCGAAGGTTAAGTTCCCTATTTGAGCCGCAGCTGTTGTTGATAGGCAAACAATCGTGCAGGCAAAGGCTGTTTCGGTAAAAAGAAAAAGACAGTTTTCTTCTTTCACAGCAGTCTATTCAAGACTTTTTTAACTGATCATTATTTCATTTAAGTTCTTTTCTTACCTTCTTTTTTTTTCTTTGAACGAAGCTTTTTGTCATAAAAAAGTCTTAGTTTTAAAGTTGGCGTCTTTTTGACGATGACATTCAGCTATATACAAAGTTTACCGGTTGACCGATCGAATGAGTAAATGGCTGTTTGAAGGGTGTGAAAAAAATGTTGTACTAAGTTTCACCATGGCACTAACAGTCAAGGAATGAGGGAGAGATTTTGGGGAGAGGGAAAGAGAAGAAAGGGGATGAAAATAGAGGTAAGGAGAGAGGGGATAAGGTGAGTCAAAAAAAAGCAAAAATTGAGTAATAGAAAGACAACAGCAAAAAAAAAAAGTTCTCTAAAGAAAAACCTATTTAAAAAGAAGTCTTTTTATGGCTTTTCAATAAAACTGCACCTAAGTTCAGAGGTTGTTAGCAAAAAAAAATTTAAATCACCGTTTTATCTGTAGTTTTTTTTTTTGTCGTTTAAAGATGATGAATTTAGATAAGAATTTCTAGATTATACAAGTAGAGGTACAGTTTTTTGATATAATTTTTTTTCTATTTTGCTCCAAATTGTTTCTTTTTTTCTTGTATTGTTAAACAGAATTCGAAAATTTTTTGTTCGTAGGAAAGCTAGAGAGGTCAGCCGATAAAACAATTAATCGTTTGAGAAGAAAAAGAAAAAGAGTTGAAAAAGGTTGACCCAATAACTATATGTTTGCATAATTACTTTGATCTATACAGTTTGGCAAATGTTCTGTCGTGACGAACAACCAGCAAAGTAAACTTGAGGCCAAATTTACACTCGCCTTCAGATTACCACTCTATTTTCAGTGTTTTGGCTAAGAGGTCAATTTTTTCTGCAGATTTACCCTGCAAAAACGTTCATCTTTTTCAGCCAAAGTTCAAAGCAGTCTTTACTGAACTCTGTGTTTTCGCCTATCCTAAACGAGGTTGAACTGAGTGTATCGCATAAATGGTTTGGGTGGTGCTGACCTTGAATGTTCTATTGAACAGCATCTTAAAGGGGCGCTTGCCCTGGGTCTGGTAAACTTTAATCCTTTAAATTTGGAACCCTTCAGCTGAATGCCTATTGTAATTTTGTGTGCTGTATTAGTGTTATTCTTGCTGGTTGGTCAAAACTGGCTAGACTTTCAAGGACTGTGGTAGCGACTTTTTTCTGCAACCAAAATATTGAACTTCAAACGGTTACGTAGCGGGATCAGTAACTTGTTGGTTAGGTCAGAAAATTCTTCTAATTAACGCGTAATTTGGAAACTAAAAAGAGTTAGTATCTTCACTATGAATCGTTTTTTTAACCAGTAGTTAACTGGAGATATAATTGGAAAAAGAAGGCGCTTTAGTTTAAATAAAGGCAAGAGTTAGTTGACCAGCAAGAAGAGAAAAAAACGACTAGTTTTCTTCTGCGCAGTACGGAAAACTGTTTTGACCAATTTCTAGAAATCATTTCTTCATTAATTACCGCACTTTTTGTTTTGTTTACGTCTCTAATCAATTTACCGACTACGGTCACTAATTTTTTTGAACTGACTATTTGACAATAAGTGTTATAAAGTGTTGTGAGCAAGCCATAGGCGTTTATCATGTCTATTTTGATCAAAAATACAGATTTTGGCCGGTAACCAGCACACAACTGTGTTGTCATTATTTTCAGTGTACGTCTAGTTGAGGTACGAAAACTGACCTGATGCCCCAGTCACACATAGTATTTCCTGGGTGGCAGATTGAGGAAGAGGAGGGCAGGTCACAGATCCAACGGCATAAATCCAGCACAGCAGCTACCGGCTGCACTTACATGAGACCACTGGGTCTTCGATAGGTCGTCAGTCACACAGTCAGTTAGTCAGTAAGCGGTCGAAGTAGCGTCGAGTAAGCGAAACATGGGGCAGCAGCGATGCGTAAGAACCATCCTCTCACTATCGGAGTGGCAACCACAGTTGATAGTTGGGATTGCGCCGCGCATCGCCGTGCCCCAGTCAAAGTTGGTTGGTTATTGGCAGCGCAGAAATGCTACTTAGGCTGACGTGGTTTAGTCGACCTTGCCGTCGTTGGTTTCCTTGTACGTCGTCCTGTTGCAATGAACGATTTCAATGTGTGTCTGATTTATTCTTTCTTTCAGTTTACTTTCTGTTTTATTTATTTATTTATTTATTTTATCTGGCAGAACAGAACGTTTGCTTTTTGTCAGTTTTATTGTATCAGTTGGTCGTTCTCCGTCGTCATATCCAGGAATTTAATTGGCGTGCAAAAATTGATGCCATTTGTAACATCCTAACAGTGGACCCATATAGGTGAAGGGATTTTAGTTAGACGGAATTGTATTGTTTGTAATGAAGAAGTATGTGTGTGGCTATTAAGCAATGCCTTGATTTTTTTTTAAATGGCTAAACAACTTGTGCTGTTTCATTTTTATCACCCCTCATCACCCTTTCTTGCCCTCCTTCACTCTCTTCAATTTCCCTTCGAATTCTTTTGCTAGATCAATTGGTATAAAAGATGCTCAACACTGATGCAAAGGTTCAGTGGACGCGTATCCCATATATTAATCTGTTTGCTTTGGTTTAAATGTAAAAAGCAGATAAAAAGATTTTCTTTTTGCTTTCAGCTTACTGACCGAATCTCTTAAATATATCGTTTTACACCAAATAGTATTTTGCATAGTCGAAACGAGTTTTGCTTTTTCTTCGTTTCCCACGTTTCTTTCTTATGTCAAATAATCTGCTAAGGCATTTTTAACATCGGACATAGCCTTTTTTTTTTTATTTTGATAAAAGCAGATAACGTTAGAGAGACGCCTATTTAGCATACTTTTTCGGTCCAGCTTAACAGAAATAATTGTTTTTCCAAATCGCTACCATTGTTGAAGAAGTTGTCTTCCGACTGCGGTTGCTGGACTTGATTCTTAGCTTGAATGCTTTTTTGGGAAACCGTTTGTCCTCGGAAATTTGGCTGTTTGGTAGCTTCGTTTTACGGCTTAAATACAGGTCAATCTGCTCTACTGAATAAATCATGCGTTCATTTAATCTTTCAGGCATCATGGCTGTTTTGACTGTTGTTTTTGTCAGCTTAGCTGGTTTATTTCTGTACACGAATGCTGCCGATACGGTTACAGTAACTAAAAAGGTTTTCATGGACATTGAAATTGGTGGAAGAAAGGTTTCAGATTCTTCTATCCCTTATTTTTTTGTTGAGTTTCTATCTAACATTATTTTGGCTCACTTCGTAAACAAATGACTGAAAGAAGTCTGCTTTCAGGAAGGGAGGATTGTAGTTGGTCTTTTCGGCAACACTGTACCAAAAACCGCTGAAAACTTCCGTGCCTTAGCAACCGGAGAGAAAGGTTACGGGTTCAAGGGCTCCAAATTCCACCGTGTCATTAAGGACTTTATGATTCAAGGTTGTTTTATTTTGTTCAAAGCCACTTGGTATTCATTAAAGTAGGTGTTAAGTGGAACTTTAGTATGTGCTCACATGAAACATTATTGTTAATTGTTTTAGGAGGCGACTTCACTCGAGGAGATGGGACTGGAGGTAAAAGTATCTACGGTGATCGATTTGAGGATGAAAACTTCCAACTTTCTCACTACGGGCCGGGTTGGCTTAGTATGGCTAATGCTGGCAAGGATACTAACGGGTCTCAATTCTTCATCACAACGGTAAAAATCATATTTTTTCTAATCACTGTTGTAGTTAGAAACTACAGCACTTTAAATCTGAGCGTTGCGGAGATTGTTACGCAGCTGTGCCTTGCATATAGCTTGGTGAAGGAACTAGCCATTTTGCATGGTTTCAGGTCAAAACACCATGGTTGGACGGCCGCCATGTTGTTTTCGGTAAAGTTCTAGAAGGGATGAACGTGGTACGAAAAATAGAGTCAACCAAGACGCAGCCGGGTGACCGTCCGGAAAAAGAAGTTGTTATTGCGGATTGTGGCGAACTGCCATTAGATTCTCCTTTCGAAACAGCAAAAGAACCAGTCGCGTAAACACTGTTGCGGCTCCGTTGCAGTCCGATACTTTTCATTCCCAAAATCTTTGTACGTGCCGTTGTTAGTATTCATTGTTGTTCACGTAAAAATTTTCTTTGTTGTAAGCATATTTTGTTTCCTACCTTGTGCCTGTGAAGCTTGGGGCTGGTGTGGTTGGTCACACTTTCGTTTTTCGTTATGATTTGGGTGAACGTGCATGTTAAACTGGTAAGCGATAAGAACTGCTACTTCGTACACATTCATACAAGCATCAATTCCCTTACTGCAGTTGCGTTCCTGTCGGCCAAAATGAAAGGTCTTGTGTAACTTGATTAAGTGAAACGGAGACAGGCAACAAAATCATCTTGTTTTTCAACATCAGTATAAACAACAAGTAAAAGCCATGAGAGGAAAAAGAAAAGGCGAAGTGAAGACAGACTTCACGTTTTCATCATTTCGCCTTTTCTTTCATCTTTTACAATAAATATCATAAAAGAAGAAATAATTGTTATCACAAATGCTAGTTTAAAGGAATGAGCACAAGTGCTGAAGGAGAGAAGGAGAAGGAGTGTTGGGGAGAGAATGAGGATGAGGTTGAAGAAAGCCGTGTGTGCACCAATTACAGCAATGAATCTCCATTACGACATATGCGTCCTAGATTAACAGTTTATACAACGACTTATGCGTGTATCTGTACACATATTTACATGAAAACAGTTACATTTTTTGAACAGAGGTAGAAGAAAAAGTTCCCAATGAATCGAAAAGAGAAAGGGAAGTATAATGAGAAGAAACGGAATGAAGTGAGAAATATGGATTTGGTATGCAATTTACAGATTTAAAACAAATTTACAGTATAAAACGAAGATTGCAACAAAAATAAAGGTGAATTGTCCGCAGTACTAATGTTAAAAACGAATAACCGCAAATGAGTAGCAAGCTTGCTGAGATAAATTCAACAAGAAAAGAGCTACCAGCATTAGATGCACCGCAAACTAGAAATCACCGGGTTAAGCGGTGAAGGTGACATTTTCTACTCTACAATAATCATAACCGATTAGACAAGATACTCACCCATTAACTAACTGTACAACATCGGTGGAGGAAGCCGGTGGAAAAAATAGGAGATGCGAGATGCAAAATCTTACTGGCAAAAAAAAAAAAAGTTTGGGGCTCCTTGTAGGCTTCATTAAGATAAAACCAGCTGCAATTTAAACTCCTTCGCATTTAAGCTCCACAATTTAATTCCCGTCTATAAATGTCCCATCTTTTTTCTTCACTAACAATGTCCATTAAAAAATCTGGCGGTGATTTGACAACCATTGGTCTGTCTAACTACGCAGTATCTACTTTTGATTCCGCCTTATGCTTTAACCTAAAATGGTCTGAAATTAAAAAAAAACACAAGGCGATGAACCAATAAGAACCAATAGAAACCACCAGACAAAACAATGGAAGATACACAAAAGGATAATTTACATCAGAGATTATCAGTGTTTACAGCCATTCAACTTTCAACACGGAAGGAGCAACATTCAAACGAAACAAAAGTACAGAAGATACATGATAGGAAATTGCTCAGTTGTAACAGGATAATTCGTAGTTTTCATCAGGTCATATCAATAACCCTGAGCGATAATTGAGATGACAATGGAGACCGCAGCATCTGACGACCATAAACATTAACAATGAGAGTGTGGTGGAGGTTGTCGTCGCAGACAGTTCAACTTAAGGGCATAGTTGATTGCTTTACGTCTGCGTAGATCGACAGATCAATGGACTGTCACCTGTTGATCACATTCGTTCACAAAATATAATTATAGCAATTATCACTTTACCAACTTTTGCTTCCTGTGATCTTCAGGCATAGTCTGTAGTATTATTGTTGGTGCTCCACTTTCAATGCGCACTATCTGTCCCGCGTTGAACATCAAAAAGTAAGTTTCTTTTTTGCTACTTTCCTTGACCTGTTTCTTGGTGCTTTAAAGGCCCTGAAACTACGAAACTGTCTAGAGAGCAACTATAATAGTTTTAACGTTGTAAGCTGTTCTTTTTACCCCTCTGTTATAGCTCACACGACTGCGTAAACAGGAGAAATTTTAAAGTGTTTTGTCTGTTCGTCCGTCACTGGTTCCTGCAGTTTTTTCAGCAGACAAAAGCGAAATATTTTATCCTCAAACAAGCCACAAATAATTTTCAAAAATGACTTTTAAAAGTTAAAAAATTGTTTTCAAATTACGCCAACAATTTTCACATTAAGTTCACTTCTTTATAGGAGCACAAAACTAACGCATTAATAATGGTGTCCTCAATTTTCATATTGTACTGCCGATTATCGATACTTTTTAGCAGCTTCTCATACTCTTCGTCAACTTTAATTTGTTTTTCAGCTTCTTCCCGCAATGCCATTTCCAACAGCAGTTGGTCAACATATCGGCCTCTTTCTTCTGGACCTTCGACGATGTTTCTTTCCACAGAGAGCCTAAATGTTCTTCAAAAGTTACTGAATATACATGATTGCAGCGATTGTTCCGTCTCTGGTTCTTGTTTGTCATCAATTTTTCTTTCTTATAACAAGAACTTACCCCTTTTTCAAATATCAATCGACAGCCTTGTTAACAAGAATTCAGAGGTATAGGAGGTGCTACGGATACACAGAAAAAAAAACTCCTTTAAAAAGCTCCAAAAAACTAACGCTGTATTGTCGCCCATTGGCGATAAGTCCCATTCTGTTACGGTAAAATGAAACAGTTATGCAACCGACTTTACTTCAAAAAAACAACAAGCGTGACGAAAAAAACTGTCAGCTCACTTAATTAGCTTATAAATTTTAGATTAGGGCACTCAGAATTTAAATTACTGACGCTCACCCAAAGCTGTCGTTAGATACCGCTGCAGCACATTAACTGTAACATTTTTTTCCACAAACTATCATCGAGCAAAAAAATGTGCTGTTCAGCCTTTTTTTTTACCTCCACTTTTTAAACTTTAAATGTATTAGTAAAAAGATCCGTTAAAGATAAAAACAGTGGATTAGCTTGGTTTTAAAGTGACAGAAAAAGGGAGCAAAAACACAAACTGACCACGCGTGTCAAACAAATTTATAGAAACAAAAGTATTGTTTGTCTATTGAAATCAAGAACAAAAAAAAAA